CCTCGGCTCGTTCAGCCCTCGGCCTCCTTCCTTCTGCTTCCACAGTTTCGGTGATGGTGTCAACGCGGAACTCCGTCTTGCTAACCTTCTTTGTAACTTGAAGGTAGCAAGCGCAGGCAAGTTTTTGGTTCCCCCTTGAGTAACCGATTCCCCCCTCGGCTGGGAACTTGAGGCAAAGATGCCTCATGGAGATGACGGCTTCGAGGTCCTCGAGGGCCGGCCGACCGAGGATGATGTTGTGGGCGCAGTCATTGTTGACGACGACGAACTCCACTTCGAGCTTGGCTCTATGGAGGCCGTCGCCAAAGATGACCGGGAGGGTTATGACCCCCTCGGAATCAATGGTGTCACCGGTGAAGCCGGCGAGAGCGGTCTTGATGGGCCGAAGGGACCCCCTCTCCAGATGCAGCTCTCTGAAGGTGCTGAGGTACATTACATTGACGGAGCTGCCCGTGTCAATGTAAGTTCTGTGGAGAATGGTGTCGTTGATCTCTGTGCGGATGACGAGGGCATCCCTGTGGGGAGAGGATACCGGGGGAGATCAGCGTTGGTGAAGATAATGGGTTCCTCCCTCAACCGCTTTACTGGGGGCATATGAGTGACTTCCCCCACGTAAAGTGACTGAGCCCACTTCTTTCGTTGACTTGTGGAGTCACCCCCGGTATTTCCCCCCGAAATCATGAGGATGTGGCGTTTCTTTTCTTGATACCGGGGGTACTCCTCCTCCTCTTCCTCCAGATTTCCAATCTCCCTCTTCTTGCCGAGGGGGATGGTGTTAGGGTTGACCCATGCATTCCCTCTCGCAGTTTGCCCTCGGGGTGGCCCCTGATGAGGGGGGGGGGCCTGTTGCCGAGGGCCCTGGACAAACTGGGACAGATGGCCCGCTTGTATCAATTTCTCGATGGCCGTCTTCAGTTGATGGCAATCATCGGTCCTGTGCCCCCGGTGTTGGTGGAAACGACAGTAGGGGTAGTTTGGATTGATGGCAAATACTTCCGAGGTGCGCGTGAATCTCGCTCCACGAGGCCCCTCTCCTCGGCAAAATCCAGGATGACGCTGACGGGGTGCGTCAACGGTGTCCGAGGGTGCTCCAGGAGGACAGGCTGTGCCCAAGCCCTCGGGTTCCCCTTGTAGCCTCCCCCGGGCTTGGCTTGGCCATGCCAGGGGCGATCACCGGCGGGGGCAGAATCCCTGAGATGATTGCGGGGAGCCCCCGACCCCCGGCTACCTTTGTCTTCTGGCCGAGGGCGTTGCTGATCTGGGACATGGTGGCATTTCTCCACCTCCTCGGCCTCGGCGTACCGGTCCCCCCCGCTGTAGGGCCCTTATATAATCGCGGGAGGGGGGGGGGGTTCGATGATGAGACTCCTTGAGAAGTTCCCGGGGCGGAGTACTATTTGTAGGAGGGCCAGGAGGGTCCCGTCGTCAGCGCCATCAACTTTATCAGCCTCCGTCCTCCAACGCTCCAGGAAGTCTCGAAGGGTCTCCTCCTTCCTCTGCCTCACTGTTAGCAAGTGGGAGAAGTGTTTTCTTGTGCGGCGCCTCCCCGCAAATTGCGTCAAGAATCGATGGGCGAGTTCTTGCCATGAGTCAATACAGCCCTCGGGCAATCGGTTGAACCATTCGTAAGCTGGCCCCTCTAGGGTGGAGAGGAACCAGCGGCACAAATATTCATCTGATGCCCCCACCATCATCATGCTATTTTGATACCTGCTGTAGTGCTCCTGGGGGCCAGTCTTTCCGTCATAGGGCTTGATGAGCTGCCCTCGGTATTTTTCCGGGATCCGGGCAGCCAATACCCTTGGGGTAAATGGCGTCCGGGTCCGGAGCTGTATGGTGGGTTCCCCGGATCCCTCGGCTATTTTCTTCTGCATTTCCTCCATTTTGGCCATTATCGCCTCATACTTGAAGTCCGCATGAGGGGCAGAAGTGGTGGCGTGGGCCTTGGTGGCCTCCATCTCGTCAAGCCGGCGCTGGAGGGCCGCAATGATTTCGTCCCGGGGGTCCTTCTGGAGGGCCTCCGCCCCCTGGGAATGGACCCAGGCCGAGTGGGCTTGATTGATTTGATGGTGTGCGTCGTCGGCATGGAGAGGTGCCTTGCCTTTGTCCTGAGGGGGACGTCTCTCATTGGCCCTGGAGACGGACCCGCCACTTTCCTGAGGTCTTTGGAACGCCCTCCCCCGAGGCGGTCTTGGACCCCTCGGCGGTCTGGCGCCCCTCCGAGCCTCTCAAGGGCGGAGGTCCGGGGGTGCTCCTTGTTCACGTCGTGGCGGTCCCGGGACTGGACCTCCTGGGAGGCCGTATCTTGGGCCATGACCCCCTCAGAGTTCCCCATCCGGAGGACCGGGTTACCGAGGGGCCGTGGATGAGGGGGAGGCAGAATATTCTCCCCAACCTGAGGCTGGTGGGGAACCAAGGTGCCGAAGGCACCCGGGTTCTGAGTGAGCGTCTGGATGAAGGCGGAGAGCGCCGATTGAACGTCGATGGTGATGACCGGGGGGCTAATTTGATTTTCGCTCCGGTCCTTTTTCTTGGCCTCGATGCCAAGGCGGGCATCGGGGGCATTTTGCTGAATCTGCTGGCGTAGGTCGACAGCCGTCTGGTCCATCCCGGCGATGACGCCGCCCCCGGGAGCCCTGTTGGAGGCTTCGGGGACATCGACCTCGCCGAGGGCCAGGTTCCTGTCCTCTACATTCTTGGAGTTGGCACAAGTTGTTCTCACCATTTTGGATGGGTGTTTTTATGTTTGGTCGAGGAGGAGGGTTTCTTACTTGATTGTTCGAGCTCTCAACGAGAGCACCAAATGATGGATAGTGTACCCGGGGGGTAGCTTATCCGAGGGGTTATTACGGGGAAAAATAAGAGAGAAGTCAGAGCAAGTGAGTATAGAGAGAGAAAGTATATTGTAAAGTGTGGAGCGTTTTCAGCGTGGTTACAAATGAAGAAATGGGGTGCTATTTATAGTAGCAATAAATGCCGGACAGGGACACGTGTCAAGCGTTCATTGGCCGAGAGGTCACCTCAACTGGTTGGCGCTGGCAACCGCATGTGGCCGCATTTAATGCGGCTGTTGGATGGGACGTTGTACAGGGTACGGTGATCTGCACGCATGTGGCGCGGATATCATGTCGGGAAAGGTGCCCTCGGCTGTAGAGGATTAGCCGATGGCTCTGAGTACTGGGGACCCCCTTGGTGCCGAGGGCTCCAGGTGCCGAGGGCTACTGATTTTCGCCGTTTTTCCCAATAACTTTGTTTTGCTGTCCTGGCCCTCCTGTGAGAGTTAGAGCCTTCGGCCAAGGGCCGAAGGCACCCTTGGTGCGCATTTGTGGGCTGCTTGGTACTCTGGGCGCTGTGATTTGGGCCTGTTGGGCCTTCTGGGCCTGTTGGGCCTTCTGGGCCTGTTGGGCCTTGATTGGAGTAGTAGGAGTCTGTGGGCCGGGGGTTCCCGGGCCATATACTCCATCAATAATCTTTATTTTTAACTCTTTAAATTTTTTAAATTTCAATTTCAGAAGTTAAATTTATAATTTATATTTGTTTTGATTTAGAATTTATTTTATTTATTTAAAGTCAATAAAGATAAAACAACTACTGACTAGAAAACAATCAATTTGCAGAGAGCGGCAAGTGGAGAAAAAACATAGTAGCCGTCTCTCTATTTTCACGTAAAAATCCTTGTGATCTTGGTATCGTCTTCGTCGATAGCTTCTTCATGGATGTCCCTCGCGTAGCATCGTAGGGGTTGCTTCTTCACCAATTTATTCATGCGACCTGATTTTGTTTTTAGTTTTGTGGGATTTCAGCAAGAACAAGCACATGAGTTTTCTCCAAGTTCGGGAACGAACGAAACAGTCACCGACTCACCCATGGCAACAATGGAGGTTTTGCTACATGTCTATCAAGGAATTGTCCTAGAGGAGGATAATGAATGCCTCATGGTGGTCCACGTCCTCCTGAACCGCTGCCGTGAAGTGATTAAGAAAACTGCCATAAAGAAGTTCAAATTATTTGCCAGTTTTTTATGATCTTATTTTCACACTATGTTTGGTTACGTTGCTTTATTTTTCGTTGAAATCTTTAGTGTTAGATGTACAATAATGTTTTTTACTTTTGGATTGTGACAAGTTCAGCATATGATAAGTGACGATAATATATCACCGATCATGATTGGCTTACAATTGTTCAAGTGGAGATTAGTAAATTCTATTACTTCTGAATGAGTGATAGTTTATGAGTCTGATCCCAGTGCGTATGATCAAATAATGTTTTGTAGTCTTGCTTGCTTGTCTACTATCTTGTTGTTTGATTGGATTATATGATTTTAATATAAGCCAATGTCTCTTAAAAAAGTTAATAAAGGTAAACTTATTCCTTTATAAGAACATTAGGATATTTTTGCACCTTTTAAAATTGAGATGTATATCTACACCTTTTTTTAACAAACCCCAGATTTAATCACGAAGTACAATGTGGAGAGCTCACAGTAAACATTTAGGTTAATTTGCTACTTATCATACCGTTGATTTGCACTTTGCTCCTTTAAAAATAATAAATCCAAAGCGAAATGAACCAAATTGAAACATAATACTCCTTCCATCCCATAAAACTTTGATATCTTTCCTTTTAGGGACGTTCCAAAAATTTTTGCCACTTTTACTTTTAATCAATTATTTTGTGGTTTCTGTTATTTCTCTCCTCTACACAAACCCCAACCACACAGTTTTTACTTTATTATTCTCTATGCCGATCAACTTTGACAAAGTTTTAAGGGACGGAGGTAGTATGACTTTTGTTTAGATAATAATTCTTCTAATCCATTTTAAATCGAACCAAACGGAAAAAGGAAAACATGATAGTATGCCCACCCATTATTATGAGTATTGAACTTGATATCTTTTCATTTTGTTGTCACCAAAACGTTATCATATTGAAGACTTTGGTGTAAACGTTACTCCGTATCATTTTGTCACAATGGAGATACTTTTACACCAAAAATTTTACAGACACTGATCGACAGAATGAATATAAAAAGTACTCGTAAAAGACAACAAAAACGACCCCAAGTTTATTAGTCCATTCGACTGTTCTAATTTTGAACCAAACGTCTCTTAGTTGGTAGACATGTCAATGGTCATGAAGTACTTCGACTCCCAACTACCTCTACCTATTCGATAAATTCCTCTATCCAAACTCAATGGTTCTGTACATTCTTATTTCCGTGCTTTCCATGTTGAAAAATGGTCCTAAAATCCACAACCCTTACCGGATAATCTTTGCTGTCCACGACTGAAGTATTCTTTTACATTTTTACACTGTTTAAGGTGGTCTGCCTAAGAGGTTTCATCAAAGTTAACCCTCTCTCCCGTAGAAAAGACATTATAGAAGAGAGCAGCACAAAAATAGAGAAAAGATGTGAGCACTAAAAATCCTTTGAAAGAACCAACTAACTCAACGAAGAAGCCAGCACCAACAGTTCCTATTATGGCCGCAAGTGTACCAGCAGTGTTTGACATACCTATGAAACATGAAAATCAGCGAGATTAGGGATCGTTTGGTGAATACTATGTCACTGAAGTGAGGGAGCCTGCTGAACTTTCTAACTAAAAGCATAAAATTTGTTTAAGCCAAATTAGTAAGTGTCTAGTACTATATAATTGATAAGCATTCTAAGAACCAAATGATTATGCTACCAAACATTGCCTAAGAATAAAAAAATGCTTTTAAACAGCCATCGGTAATCACAAGGGGAAGATCCTACAGTGTACTGAGTGCATTAATTACATTTTAACACCATTGATTCACTGACTAGGATACTACAATGAGTTCATGATATGAATATCATCTGAGCAAACCGTGATTCATGGAGAGCATCTGGACTAGGGTTGGACTGGGGTCCGGGCCGGGTCCGGGTCGGGTCTAGGCCCGGGCGGGCCGGCGGGTCAGAAATGGGGGACCCGGGACCGGCCCGGGTAACCACCGGGTCCGGGCCGGGCCGGGCCCATTATAATTTTTTTTAATTTGTTTTCCTCTTCCTAATTAACCCCCCTCCCACCCCCAACCCCCAAACCACCCCAAATGGCCCAAAATACCCAGCCCAACCCAAAAATTTAAAAAAAATTGGAAAAAAAAAAATTGTTTTTGGCCCGAACCGGGCCCGGGCCCGGCCGGGTCGGGCCTTGTTTTGGGTGACCCGAGCCCGGACCGGAAAACCCACGGGCCGGGCCTACCCGGACCGGTCACTGACCGGGCCACCGGGTCGGGCCGGGCCGGAACAGTACCGGTCCCGGGCCGGTTCCGGGTCGGGCCACCCGGCCCGAGTCCATACCTAATCTGGACTATTGATGAGATAAGTCACTAAATGATTAATTAACCTATCAACGGTCTAGATACTCTCCAGATCTACTGAGATCATGAAAGGATCCAAAGCTTGAGAGTCATGCATTGCGACTGTGTGAGCGTGTGTGTGTGTGTGAGAGAGAGAGACTACTTACCATGCAGAACACCTGAATATTGGGGGGCAATTTCCTGGTTAAGAGATAAGATAGAAGAAGATGTAAGTGTGCGGTTTTGCTGCTCATTGGATTATACTGAGTGTAGAATATAGATTGGATGAATCTGCTAACCTGAAGGTTTACCAGGAACCCAGAGTGACTGAATGCTTTCAACCCAACAGCTAAAGTAAGCCAAGCTGATGCTATTGTTGGAGTTGGAGCTGTAGTTAAACCAACAAGAGCAACCCCGGGCCCAAAGAATCCAATTGACTACAAAGAGAAAAAACAGATAAAGATCAAATAATAGATGCCTTACAAGATAAAAAACAGATTCTGAAATGACAAGATCAAACAGTCCCTTTGGAACTTGGGAAAGAAAATAAAGAAGAAAATAGATACAATAAATTTGGACAGAACTAGATTGTGTAGTACTCCCTCCGTCCCGCTAGAAGGTTCCCGTGAACGGTTTACGATGCTTGACTGACGATAAAGCAACTTAATCCCTGTTCACACTCTGATTAGTTTTAGTAAATAAAATTAATATATTCAGAAACTACATTAAAACCACTACAAAGGCTGATAAAAAAAATGTAAATTTGATAAAAATTTGATTTATAAAGTAAACGATTAAAAATGATTTAAGTTGACCATGAAAATAGTGGACGGGAACCTTCTAATGGGACGGAGGTAGTAGGAAACTTAGAAGGAAATATAGTAATGGGAAATAAAAGAATGACTTCACACTCCATAAATCAATTGTAGATATTTGTTCAAAGTCATTTTATTTAAGTATATATAGTAAATAAGAGCAAGAAGTCTGAATATATATACAGTTTTAGCTTTTTAGAAGTTCTAACCAAATATGACTTTCCTTCATTTTTACCAAGGTAAACCAACACATTAAAGAAACATTTTCCTTCATGCTTTCTTCCTTTCTCTACCATTTCCCAAGTTCCAAACATAGCTTTGATTTTTAGAAACAATTGTTTAGTAGAAGTTAAACAATGATAGAAGATTATCATACTTGCATGACTTTGCGGGTTACTGTAATGCTTTTACCATTTTGGATCATCCAGTCAGATATAACACCAGCAACATAGCCCATTAATGCCATCATACTCCATGGGACTGCACTAAACCAAGCTGCTTGTCTGAGATCAACACGGTATATCTACAAACAACAAAAGTTAATGTAAAGTAATGCAATGATCATCTGCAAATTATTCCAAATGGATATGCCAAACAAAATTATCTACTTCTTCTTACACTTCTGAAGTAAATTGGCATCCACGAAAGTATCACGAAAAATCCCTGCATTAACATAAACAGATGAAACATGGATCTATGAAACTGTCTCTACCATATATGTAATACATTGATATTTAAGGCCAGTTTGGTAAGAGTTACTTGGCTGAAAATGATTGAATGTGATGAGTTTTCTGGAAGGAAAAATGTTTGGTGAAACCGACTCAACCCAATAAGAAAGTCAAGGCTTTATTCTGTTTATTTTGATTAATCTGCTTATTTTGCTAATAAGAACTAAGCCGAATAAGCTCGTTAATGCTATTGAACGGGCCTTAAATTCTCACAACTATCGATCATATAGAAAGTTCAAATGTTTTTAACAGCACTATTTGCCACAGGTACTAATATAAAAACTTATGTATTACCCAGCTATGCATGGAATTTGCAACAATTAGAGACCATGTTGGTGGCTTAGATAGCAAGCGCCTGAAAGGTGGGATCATTTTGGCGGTTTTCAATTTACTGTCAAATGCAGAATGGTTGAGCCGCTCATGCTGTATGTAACACAGTTCTTGTGCCGATATTTGATTGCTCTGCTCAGGTGTACTGGAAATTGCAGATACCCAGACCAAGACCCAAAGTAAGCCAGATAGACCAAATATGACAAATGGTCCAAAGAGACCACCCTGTGACATGAGAATTGGAGAAAGTGTGAGCCCAATAGCACTTCCAAGCTGAAATCCAGCCATTGCAAGCGCTACAGCCCTTGATCGTTCTGTCTGAGGAAACCATCTGATGAAAAAGTAGTGTAATGAAACACGTTGAAGTTATCAAGCTTCTATAATTTTTAGAAAGAAACATAAAGAATAGTCCCACAAAAAAGGATACTTTCTCTGTCCCCCAAAAAGTCATGTTTGAGTAACGTAGAACTTATATTAAGTCAACATATTCAAGGTACAGGCTTTTACAAGGAATGAATGACCACTTATACCTGTAAAACTCATTTCCAGGTTCTCAGGAGTAATGAATAATGAAACGCTTCTACTTGGCTTTAAATGCACTTTACTTTCAAATGAAGTTGACTTTTTAGATTGAGTTCTTTGTTTAGGGCATAAAAGTTCCTGAAACGGAACTCCTTTTAGGGGACGGAGTTTCATAATAGTGCTATGGAATGATTCAATAACCATTACTGAATGTGAGCACGTTAAACAAAAACTAGCCTTCCTAATACTAGATTATGATCCTGTTTGGTAAGACAAAAAAGATCAAATATGCTGAAGTTATTGTTGGATTGGCTGAGTCTGTTGAATTGTTAAAATTATATTTAAAATATACATTATTACTAAAGTTTAGATATAAATACATGGAAAAGGCTATCATTTTCCGCTTCAGCAATTCGGCCAAAAAATGTACCTCAAAGTTTACATTCTTCCATTATTAACTTGTTGCGCATGAAAAGAAAAACATACTGTTTGAAGATAATTAAGGCCGATAAGGCTGATGAGCCAAAAACAGGTTTACCAAAAAAAGGCTCTTGTGTGAGTGTCCATTGGGTGATTGACCTTCCTCCAAGCAGGAGAGGTGCATCACCTCTGCACTATAAGGGCTTGACATTAATGACAACAATATTATCCGGTGTGTATACCTTGCAATCATATTGTTCATGCAGGGAAGAGCTACACCTTCTGCTATGCCAAGCAACATCCGCATAAACAGTAGTGCCCACAAGGAAACACCAACAGACCAAGGAGTTAGGAAAGTTGCTAAAGACCATAGTGTCACACCCCATGTTAAAACTACCTTTCCGCCAAAACGATCCACCAGCGCCCCTCCAGCAATTGGCGATAGCAGGTAACCCCATAGAAAAGATGACTGCAATAACTAACTAGACTCGTCAATCAAGCAATTAACTAACAAATTACATATGCTCAAATGAGGCATGAGTTAATGCCTTCTCTGCATAAATGTTGTCAAAGAAATGGTTATGAATAACCTAATGTATCTCTTGAGTCTTACACTCTTACCTGATCCATAATACCTGTTAACCACCCTTTAGGATATAAATATCAAATTCTCTATCGAACTATTATTGGATGATGATAATCAGACCCTCGATGCTTCCAACTCTTTAACCTATCCCTAGTGTGGCAACTGGGTATGATTGCATTGATTTGGTTTGGTGTACTTCCAAATCAAACCTCCAAGGAACTATGGAAGCATCGATTACAATGGAGAGCCCAAAGGAAAGAATCAGTTCCAGCAAAAATTCAAACTTAGGAGTCAAGTTCCAATAGCATTTGTTTTAATATTGAAATACAAACTTGATTTTGTAATACGCATTTTTAAGCAATACAGTAATACGAAAATCATTCCTTTCGTAGTTTGGCATTGCTCCTTTGTTACAAGAATGCAAGTTCATTGAACTTATAAATGGCTCTATTCCATCAACCACGGCAGTCAAACACATAAAATTATTTCAATCATCCTCGATAAACAGAAAACTAACACTATATAATTGCACAAATATATGCATACATAAATATTTGATAGGACGAACAAAATAAACTCATAGAATATGTATAATTACATACACAGCCATATGTACACATAAACACACATATACATACTTATGTAGTTCTGTCCCTAACAAAGTGTAAGTTGTGTGGTTGATGTTTGTGCAAAGAAAAGTAACATAATATAGAACACAAATTCGCTTTCTTAAATGAAAAGTGACAAACTTTCTTGAGGACCGAATAAGGTAAGTTAGATAAAAATAGGAGCGATAGGTGTAAACTCCCTACTTTCCATTTTCAGCAACTACCACTTTCCTTTTTCATCTCCTCTATTTTCTGTTCCTACTTTTTCATCTTTCTCTTGCCCTACTTTTTTTCACTCTACTGCAGTACTATGTATATGGAAATATATAAGTATCCTTGCTCTTTATTTTTCCTACATAATTCACTGCCCTAACCATTTTCAAGTGAAAAACTTAAAGGTGTAACTTAAAGGAGATGCAACATTATTTGAATTCTTTTTTGTTTCATCCCAAATTAGAACCTGGTTCCGTTTCATTACTTAAACTCCAAGTCAAAATGGCTAATAGTTTAGAAATTGGGGGTAGAACAAGAAGAGGAAATGAATGTGACCTGAACAATACCGGCGAAAGATTGACGCCAACCATAAGATACTGATATAGGAACAATAGCCACGGACATTACCACTCGGTCGGCGTTGCATAAAGCCAGAGACAATGCTAACATAGCCACCACTTTGAGTCTCTCTGAAGTAATGAACTCCACGAAACTCGGCTCCTGCACTCCCCCTCCATCTACGGAAGGACCCCTACCAACAGGTTGGGAATCGTTCAGAGAAGCTTTAATCGGGGACAATCGGAATCTCCGAGATGAGCATTTGCAACTTTTAACAGTAAAGCACTGAGAAAAGCTCTGGTTGGCTAAGGGCGACGGTAACTTGTGATTTAATAAAGACGGTTTGGAGGGCTTAAGATTTATAATGCGGGGATATGTGGCTGTACGGTGGAGACTGGCCGCCGGAGAAAACATAACGGAAGCGTTTGTAGTCTCTTTAGACTTTAGAAAATTATGTTAGGCATGGGTTTTGGAGCTCAGGGAAGTTACCGGCTCGCCGGCGAAGAGGCAGCCAAATCGCCAGTTGCAACCGAACGACTTCGTTCCTTATCGCCCATTTCCCGCTGGGTCCGGGTATGGTTGGATTGTGAAGTTGAAAATATAGTAATTGTCCTCCACAGGACTGATACTAAACTTAAATGCACAAATAAGACTTAAGTTTTGTGCATTTGTTCATTTTTTAGTCTCATTTAGAGAATTAATTCTAAATGAGGACTAAAACTAAACTTAATTGCCTAAATAGGACCGGAAGTTTTTAATTTCCTAAATAGCATTCCGGATTACCATTATGTCCTCCTATATAATAACATCAAAACCCTAATTTCAATTCCAATCTATCTCACGTACGTCTGCGGCTCTTGAATATCCTACGCAGCAAGCCTTGCTCACAAATCCCTGTGCAGCACTCCTACTCTGAGGCATGGAATTCGCCCCTCCGACGATTATACACCTTTTTGGCACCATCGCCGCTTTCATCTTCATCGATTCCAGGTTCCTCCTACTCCTACTCCTACTCCTTCTTTCCTCTTTGTCTTCTTTCTCTTCGTCCCCCCCCCCCTCCCCCCCTTCTTCTTTTGTTCTTCTTCTTTTTCTCTAATCTTCATGGTTAATAACATCTTCCCCCAGTGTTTTTTGGTAGATTTATTGTTTTGTTTCATGAACATTTTTGGAGTTGGACATCGACTTTTCTGTTTTGTAGACATCGGCTTTAGGTTTCTGATTTCTGATGTCGTTAAGTTTCCAATTTCGATAAAAATTCATTTTTCAGATTTGGAATATCGGCTTTACATTTTTGCCAACTTTAAAAAATCGTGTAGTACTCAATATTATATTATGGCAAAAAGACTTTTATTTTAAACATTAATTTGTATTGCCAATCTTTCGGCAAAATTGACCAATATATTATGGCAGGTTTCATGGTTGAAATTTCTAGTTTCAATAAATTTCTAGGTTCATTAAAAACTCTGATTTTTCAGATTTGGGTGTTGAGTTCATTTTTTGCCAAAATTTTGGCAGTTTCATGTAATACATTATGACAGAAAAATTGTATTTTGACATCGATTTAAAAGTATTGCCAACTATATGGCATATTTGGATATGATATTATGGCATAAAAATATTGTTTTCTTCAACAAACTGCCAAATATAATGATAGGGATTGTCAATATTGTGTTTATTTTTTTATAAAAGATGACAGAATTATGTTTTTATGATGTCAACATATTGTTTTGCAGCATGGTGGCATTTTCGCAACCGGTGGTGATGGCGCCAGCAGCGATGCCGGAAGTGACAACGGTGGCGACGTCGGAAGTGGCGGCGCCAATGGAGTCGAAAGCGGAAGCGTCGGAAGTGGTTGCGGCATTTGGAGTGCTGGAGGCGGTTGTGGAATCTAGGATTTTAGATAGCTTGTTTATTTTTTATTTTTTAATTGTAAATAGATTTAAAAATTCATTAGGGGTAATTTTGTAAAGTCAATACATTTTTAGTCCTATGAAACATGGGAGTCCTATTTGTGCATTTCTTCATTGTTTTAGTCCTATTTAGGGAATTAACTCTTCTTTTTTTTGTCCCACTAACTTTGTCACTTTCCCTTGTTAGTAAAGAATTTGTGTTTGTAGATAATTCTCTCTCCACTGCACAACCCTCAATCACACAGTTTTAATTTTATCAATTTTCGTGTTGGGCAAAATTTTAAGCGACAGTGGGAGTAAAAATTTAAGACATGAACTTGCACTATGTGGAGCAAAGAGTATTTCATCTTGCAAGTCAAACGTGGTGGTACATATAATCGTCGGATTAAGAACATCTTTAATGGGAATGTTAATTGCATCAAATAAAAAATGGACATGTAACCTCTACACACAGTCTGTGGGGTTGAGGTGGATGCACGAACATTCAAAAAAAAGATCTGCTCCAACGTAGCATAAAGAATTCTCGCCAATAAAAATCATTTACGTTGTTCATCCTCAAAAAACTATCGCAGGTTTATATATAAAGTACATAACTCTTCTTGTATAAAAAAAATATTACATTCTGATAGCATTCTTCATCTTCAAACGCATAACTTGAAAATAGTCCCAGCTCTTGGAGGTTAGTCAGGTTACCCACGCTTCCCATTCTCCCAAGTCGTAGCAAGTACGTCATCTATCAAAGAGTACTGAAAATTACAGTAATTAATTGTAGTATTACCAAGCCAATCCCCATATAATTAAAGAACAGATATATGTAGATGATTTATTTTGATTCCACAGGAGGATTAAAGGTTTTTTGTTTGTATTTGGTTCTTAGAGTTTCACGCATATATACGAAGATGAAAGAAGGAAGAGCAGTTTGACAGAAATGTTTGCACTTGCCACCTTAAATTTAGCTCGGAACTTAATACTTTGCTGAGTCACAATTTCTGGAAGGCCTGCTAAAAATCCAAAGAGGAGTAGACGTCGTGGGTTTTTATCGGCTCCAGCTCAGCAACACAGCCCGGCCCATATACACGTTTCCATTGGAGAAGCTAAATTTATCTCAAAGTCTATTTATCTCATGTGGCAGTGCATATTTAGGGAATCCATTTTCGCACTACGGATGCTCTAAGGCTAAAGAAGTACATATACGAATGTCCCGTAAAAAACGCCAACGTGTCAATTAGAAACCGTTTGTTTCTTACACGTTGGAGGACGAGTCAGCAACCTCTCATACTCCCTCTTTTATAGATAACCCTATCGTTCGAGGATTTGTGATACTGTGTTGGTGAGTTGCTTAAAATTGATGTAAAAACTTGTTCTTGTACTAGCTTCTTTCTTTAATCGAGTTGCACAAATATTTTGGGTGCAACAGAGATGGCTTATGAAGCTGATGACGTCCTGGACAGATGATAGGGAGACGATTCATTGCCTGCTCAAGAGTAAGGGTATTCGAATGATTATAATTTTGGATTTGTTGTTAATTTTGATTGATTTTGACATAATTTTATTATTAAAAATATCGTATAGGTGTCTGCTGCAACCTGTTTGAATGGATTGATTCAGAAATGTGTGCAAGGTCGAAGGTGATTATACAGAGTCTTTTGAGGAAACTAACGGAAATTACTCCAAATAGAATTGAAATTATGGCAAAAAATCAAAATAGGACTTGTTATGCTTTTATTTTAAAATATGACTATATTACTCCTATTGGAAACATACCTATTTTTCATGTCATTCTTACCCCTCCTTTAAATATGAATAAAAGGTGGTCAAAAGTTATAATTAAATGTTTAATTCATAATTAATTCGAAAAAATTAAAAAAAATCGTACAAAAAATAATAATAAATTAATAAAATATTTATAAAATAAAAAATTAAAAAAACAAAATTTATATTTTTTAAATTAGAAAAATATGGATGTCTTTCCCACCGCATGTATTGCCTCGCTGCACCACCACCTCTGACTGGTGTAAAAATGTTATTTTTCTGAAAATGCCAAAAAAATGTCATATTTCGGAGATGGTGGTGCTGGGGCGGCAGAGGCAGAGGTGATTTGTTTTACCGTTTTTTAGTTTTTTATTAAAAATAATTATAATTTTTAATTTTTTTAATTTTTTAAATTAGATCCTTTCCCTTCGCTTGTACTGCCTCCCTGCACCACCACCTCCGATCAGTGTAAAAAATGTCATTTTTTTAAAACTGCCATTTTTTTTCCTGAAAATGCCAAAAAATGGAATATTAACTTTAAATTGTTCACATCTCCATAATCCATCTGAGAGTAAAATAGCACTTTCCAAAATATCACTTTTCAAAAATGTAAGGGCCTGTTTACTAACAGAGATATTTTCCAATTTTCTACTTCTGTTTTCCGTTCTCCAATTTTCTGTTCTCATTTTCCAATTTTTCTATCTCCAATTTTTTATTTTCATTTTTTAGTTTTCCATTTTCAAATCTGAAAACATGTTCATCAATTTTTTTCACCCGGTTTTGTGATCGTCGAGAAGACTGAGAGTGCGATCCCATTCCGAAATCAAACCTAGTACAACCCAAGTAGGGTTCTAGATCCCACATATAGGAATGTCGGGACCAAAATCAGCCGTTCCCGGTCGATCTCAATGGTTAGTTTGACAAATTCTTTTCTCATTTCCCTATTGGTTGACAACTCAACGCACTTTTAAAACTCTACACTTTAAAAATGAATTTTCAAAAAACCGAGACTGAACTGCCGGGTCATTGATCGGCCCGGACAGTGACCGCTTGGTCGTGGATCGGACTGAACGAGGATCGTCGGGTCATCGATGGGACCAGACATGGTTCAATAGGTCATCGACCGGACCGGACAGTGAACGTCGGGTAACGTACCAGATTAGAAAGGGGTCGCGGGGTCATGGATTGGACTTGACAGGGGATCGCTGGGTCGTGGACCGAACATGGACCACCGGGTCATCGATCGGACCAGACCGGGACCGTCAGGTCATTGATCAAACTAGACCGGGATTACTCAGTCGTCGACCGGAACAGACAGGGACCGCCGGATCAACGACCTGACCAGACCGGATCGAGAACGTAGGTTCGTTGACCGGAATGGAACCAACACCAGAGCGGGACCGGAATGGAACCGACACCGCAGAGAGATCGGATCCACCACTAGGTGTAAGTATGCAAATTCATTGTATTGGCACTGTAGCATCCGCGTTTTCCAAATTTGGAAAACTAGTAAAAGTCACTTCTCCAATTCATCAAGGAAAAGACAGACATATCTCATTTTTCATTTTGGAAAACAATTTGGTAAGCGCTTTTTTCAGTTTTCCTTTCTCCAGTTTTCCAGCATTTTTCTTTGGTAAACACGTTTTCTGTTTTTCATTTTCCAGTTTTCCAGTTTTCTGGAAAACTGGAAAATATCCCTGTTAGTAAACAGGCCCTAATCTTTCAAAAATATCACTTCTCAAAATATCAACTTTTTTTCTCGAAAAGCCACCGTAAGCGGTGTGGTAAATGTCGGGAAACATCTACCAAATTTATTAATTATAATAGGTTATGGGTGTTAGGAAATTGATGTAACGTATCTCGAAAGTACGGCAGCGGAAGTTTAAAACTTTCCCAAACAGATCTTCCCTGATTATGACAAAATAACGAATATGATAATAATAACAGATTTGAGTTAGAACTTACAAATCTTCCAGCCTAGCGGTGATAATCCTTGACCTTTGGTATCGACGTGATTTCTCCTTTCCGAAAGAACGGTTAGATCTCCCTAAGAGAAAGGCTAGGAAATCTCTTCGCATGAAAATAAACTGGTAATACTGAATCTGAAAACATGTCACTAAATTATGAAGGAGGAGGATGTATTTATACTAGTTCTAAACTAGTTTCCCAATCACAATGAAAGTCTTTCTCATTAATGAGTTCTAATCTAATTAGGACCAATCTCATTTATGATTTAATTATTATTAATTAAATAAATCAACCAAACAAATTAATAATAAGATGAAAGTTGGCTGCACGCCACTTTCCATCTTTATTATTATTATTTATTTTAGTTTTTTCTTTTTAATTCTAAATTATAAAGAAAAAATACCAACTTTATTTAATTAAGAATATATCTTAATTAAGTATAATAAATCTAATTTATCACACTTAATTAAATCTATCAAATAGAACTCTTCTTCAACATCACGAATTAAATATAGTTAATCTAACTAATATTTAATCCATTTTCAATATTACGAATTAAATATTATTTAATCCAATTAATATTTAATTCCTTCTAACAATTCTATCGGAAGGTATAATCACTTGTTGTGTGACCCATATGGTCATATATATTAAGCACTAATCAAATCAAGGTCTTAGTAGAATCCCTAGATGATTTACCAGACAAACTTAATATATATAAGGACGTTTGCGAGGACTATTCAAACTCCCTGTAATATAGAGCTCATAGTGATACGGTCCTTTCATTCAACGAACATTCAACTAAGTCTAGAACATGATATTGTGTCTATCCCAATAACTCAGTCTCTGTCTCTCAATCTTTCTAGATGATCCATAACGTTTCGATATCCAAAACGAATATATCTTTGCATTGGCCAATGACTTTATGATCCGTTCTCTCTTAATCTATTACGAGGAATGAATCTTTTCTTGGCTCAACTACTACTCCATGTGCTTCGTGATGCACCCAACACATGTCGTATCTACCCTGATTGGAGTGCAAGCGTTGGTCATGGTCAAAGTACATCACTCCGCACATGTAGTACGTATTGACCTCAAGTTGGAGGACTATTACACTACTCTATACGCCGATAATCCCATAGACACATGAATAGTTCTTATCAAATGGTTTCTCGGTGGGTATGCCAATATTTTCTAAAATATCTATGTGATCATCATGAATTACAGGAACTCATAGTTGTGAGATCAACTATACTTTCTAAAAGTATGATGCAGTCCACATATCAATCTTATCACATATCATCAATATCCCATTCTTGATGATCATTGATTGGGGCTATTTTAGGACCTTATGTTATATCATATAAGCTCCTACTTACTTATTGACAACATAAATCCAAGGGAACACAATTATGAATAAAACATTGACAATCGAAAACAATCATTCATAAAGTGTAATACCGTGTATATATCAAATATAAAAACTAAATGTGATCAAGTACATATGTCTCTAAAAAAATGATTGTCGCTAGGACATATATACTAACAATGGGTTACATAATTTGTTTATGAAGTGAAATAGAGGCCCAAATCCGGCCCAACTAAAATAGAAACAGCACGCCTCCAAGGCAGCAGAATAAAATCCTACCATCAATCATAACCGGCCAAAAGTACATTTTCGCAACCCTAAGTTCCGGATGCTTCGTTTGTATAGAGAGAGTGAGGGTGCAAGACTTCTCAAAATATCACCTTCCAAAATAAATACAACTTTCTAAAAAGCAAATAAATTCCATGTGCAACACAACTAGTATTATGGTGATGTAGTTTTGTACAAGTATACTTCTAGCAAGTGGGAGCCTTTGCGGCAATGATGTAATGATAATGATGATGATATTTCTAGTAGGTAAAAAGTTTGATCCATCATTACTGATGAATTGTACTACACATTGAGGCCCAACCATATCAATAATCTTATAAGTTAAGTGGCTCAAAAAAAGACTTGATTTCTTATCTTTTGAAACTTTAACATATAGTAAAAATGTGAACCTCTAGGCCAATATGCAATAAAGTTAATGAAGCGTAACATCGCCCTTTCATATCAGCATGTGTCTTGCTCTTGGAATAAGTTTAGTCCTTAAAGTTGAGTAGTTGGGCAATTTTTATGCAGGACCATACTCGTCAATGCCTTTTACAAGATTGATGAATGACTTTTGTTGCACAACATTGAAAGAAACATTATTTTAAACTTAAGAGAGAAATTTGTCACCAAATAATAATAAAAATGCAAGATTTATATTTAGTATCACTAGTTTATTTTGATGTCAGTGTCATAGGTTGATGATAGTTATATATTAAAATTTCAAAACAATATTTAACATCAATTAGTAACACTATTTAAAAGTGTCACTACAACTCTATAAGTCAATTTTCTAATGGTAGACAAAGAGCAGAGTGGCTGGAGACCATATTAAATTACACGAGGAAGGAGAGAAATGTTTTCGTATTTAATGGAGTATATGGGTCTAGGCCCCAAGACCCACATACTCAGAATAACAGAAAGTACAAGCCAACTAGGATGCCCTCGTCGGCCAAAGGACCTCCGTCGGCCGAAGAGGGACCAACTCGGAATATGGTCCTGAAGCCAGGGAACTAGGGTGCCCCTGTCGGTCGTGCCCTCGTCGGCCGTGCCCTCATCAGCCAAACCCTCGCCGGCCACGGAAGCCTCGCAGAACCGAATTTTACACTTACTCATTTATATAATCCATCATTTACTTTGTATTCGGCCCAATAGCGGTCCAGTTGTAAATGGGCCTCCCAAGCCCAAGGCTTGGGAGCCCAGCCCGTATTTTTCCTATAAATACTTCCTCTGGAGGTAGTTGTAGGGGTTACAAAATCATTCTATTAAAGCATTTACTTGCACTTCTCTCTCTAGCTCTCACTTCTCTCTAGATATATACTCTATCATTTGGTGCTTTCATTGAGAGCTAGAACAATCAAGTTAGCATCCTTCGTCGCTACCAAGCACAACTAACCACTGATCATGGGAAGAACCAAGTCGAACCGCAACCTCGTCAGCAAGGCCGTCCCTGAAGATCAGGAGACCAGGGAGCGTGAAGAGGACGCTACGGCCGACCAGGTCGGAGGTGGGGATGTCTTCCAGGAGGCCATCAACCTCACGACGGACCTACGCAACCAGCTCAACGGCGGCGCCCCTGATGCCCGCATCGGCCTGGACAAGAAGCGCGCAGAGAAGACAGACCACGCCCCGGCCCAACCTATGGCCGTGGCTTCTCCGTCTGTGGATCCACAGGTTCAGGCCGCGTTGTCGGTCATCATCGCCAACC